TGATTGATGGTGACTTGGCACAAAAACATTTCAAATTTATGATTTCAATCTATTAACTATTTAGTCATCACGTCGTCAGTGAAACGTGATAACCTGCTAACTCCATTTTTTACGTTATTAAGTTTTTTTATACCATTAGAAAGAGAAAAAAATACTCTATACGTAGGGAAAGCAAACACATTTTTTCCCATTAAAGATTTTTTTTTATTATAACTCAATAATATCTGCTAACTCCTAGTGATCTGAAATAGCCACCGAAATGCTGCTATCTCCCTAATTTCCGTTGCGATCACGCTAAAGATTCACACACGGATTCTTACTCGTATGTTTCTTTAGTACAGTACGTCGATCCAGGGTCGCACTAGGCCAAAGGGGCCCGGGTGGCAATGTAAGGAGGGGCCAGTGTGTTTTTTTTGCGTATTTTTTCGCCTTACGTTTTGATCAATTTTTCCCTATTATATACAGGGTGAGTCTTAAATAAGTGCAAATATTTTAGGGTAGTATATTTCGACCCAAGAAACACGATTATAAGGTTTTTTGCGCGAAATATTTTTGTTTGAAAATTTGGATTTTTTTAAAAAAAAATTTTGGATTTTTTTTTAATTTTTAGTTTAAAAACATACTTTGTAATATGGTAACATAGGTAGTAGATTAAATTTACAAGAAAGAAAATCCAATGATTCTCAAAATTATAGCAAAAAATTGGAAATTTTAAAATTGAAATAACTCGGTTGTTTTGGATTTATTTGAAAAAACGGTAAAGAGAAAATATTATGTTTCTTTTATCGAGATTTACCAGCCCTGAACAATATTTGCACTTATTTAAGACTCACCCTGTATAGAAATCAAGGAACTACCCTAATGCAAGGTAAACCAATGCAATGCAAATTTCATAATGCAATGCAAAAGCAAATATTGTTAAGAATAAATAATGAAATATAAAGGGGGCCCGCGAAGGCTGGGCCCCCCCTAAGAGTTATCTATATAATATGGCCAGTCCGACCCTGCGTCGATCCGTTCTGTAAATACGGGGTATCCGTAAAGGGTAAGGGGAAAAACGAAATTCTCTATATACGAGCAATTCATCGGCGTGCTATAAATAGTTTAAATAACCATTACTTACTTGTACAAGAATTTCCATAATACATAATCAGTTTTATTTTTTTCAAGGTTTTTTCACGTAAATGATACATAATTTTTATGAAAATTAAAAAAATGAGGAGAAAAGTAATAAAAATTTAATAAAATCACGCACTGGTCTTCCAAGCGGTCTACCACAGAATATCTAGCTACGCAACACTATATATCTACCACAGAATATCTAGCTACCACAGAATATCTAGCTTGCGTAGCTAGATATTCTGTGGGAAAAATTAGAATAAGCATGGAAGGATTCTACCATATCTTCTAAGAAATATAAGTTTAATTTTTAAATTATTTTCATATTCATTAAGTCCAAAATTCTGCTACTTCAGTTCTTTAAAAATGCAAAAAAATTTAAAATTTTTATTAAAAATTTATTCATTTTTGGACTTGTATGTTTTGCTTCTAGACCGATGATATTATAAATATATGGTTATGAATATCATATTTTTAAATTTCATTGATTATTTCTAAATCTGTTTGGGTAATATTCATTTCCATTTTCAAAATTTCAAACAATAAAGGTTGCTATCTCCAGAAGTATATTTTTATTTCTTATTTCTGCAAGACGAATATCTGCTATCTCCCTATTGTGTCAGAACAAAAATGACGTAACACGAAATATTGAGTTTTATTGTTCACCAGCAAATAAAATTCTTATCTCTTTATCATATTAACGCATCAAAATACTTCCTACATGTGTACATATTTTTTTGTACCGTTTTTTTGCTGTCCTGTAAAATTAGGAATAATGGAGTTAGCAGTTTATCACGTTTCACCGACGATGTTTGGTTTATGTCATTGATGACAGGTATTGATAATTTCGATTTGAAATATCTCGAGAACTATTACTTGTAGCGATTTTTATTAAGAGACCTTTTTTACGTTAAAAACGTCGTAAATGTATATTTTTTTACTTAGTAGTTTTATACAGATGCGGACGAAAAGTTATTACTCTTCAAACCATATTGACATCAAAATCCAAATTTTTCATATCAAAAAACTCCCAGACACCAAATTTCATCCAAATATTGATGTTACTTCAAAAAATATCTGGAAAAAATCGAAATCAAAATGAAATTTCTACACCCTGTATCTCCGAAAAAGTCCTAAAATGCTTAATTTAGGACATACATTTATACGAACTTTTTTACTTATTTTTATCTGCAGAATATGCTGCCGAAGTTTCCGGAATACAGTTCGGACCGCCCTGTATATTACATACGGCGACTTTTCTAAGGCTTAATTATTTCAATGACGATAGTTTGTATTAAAATGAAATTTCGGGAAAATATGTAGGTTAACTTAGAGCATTTTTTAAAAATATATAGAATTCTACAGAGTGTCCCCCAAAAAAGTTACATTTAAAGTTATATTTTTTGTAATGGAACATTCTATCTATATTCAGTCTATTTCTAAAAGCTTGAGAGTACACGACCTTCATTACAAATGCAATAGGCGTTTTGTTGTGTACAGTGTGACATGTCGACAGAGATGGGACCAATTTCATTTTAAGGGTATATCTTCCAAAAAGATAAAAACAGTTTTAACACGTTTGTAGATGCGACACATCCGGTACGTTGGCCGAGAACAGTAGCAAACAAAAAATAAAAATGTTGGCAGGTACTGACCGTACCAGTGTCGGGTATTAGGGTTTTAAGATTTATATTAACTTTTGTTAAAATATATCGTTATTTGTTAAAATACTCATTTTCTCTAATTCGGTTAGCAAAGGCATATCGAAAACGGTGTGGAACAGAAAGAGACAGTGTTGCCATGTTAACTGTGTAATATCTGGTTTGACGAAAATATCTTTAGATGAAAAATCCGCGTTTAAGTATTGAAAATGTAGTCCAAGAGCTAGCAACGTTTTCGAGAAAGTATTTTAAGACGTCTGGCTCTTTGATATACCTTTTACTATGCTCTCTGGAACAGCATGCGGCCCGTCTGGCTGCCGATATCCGTTGCGTTCACTTCTGCGCATCGGAAGAATATCTTATATATTTTTTTAATTTAGTCCTATAAATTCTAGTACTGAATATAAATCGAACATGTCTCCATAGCGCAGTGCGTAGAGTTTCGAAGTTTTGAATCCTCGGTTCGTTAGACTACGAACCGAGGATTCAGAGTTCGAATCCGGGTTAAATAATTCTGGTGATTCACAAAAAAACAAATATGTAATACTTTACTATCAGAATATAAACGAAAATAAAATAAAAAAGTCTTTGCCCTGACCCGGATTCGAACTCTGAATCCTCGGTTCGTGGTTCGGACACTCTACGCACTGCGCTATGGAGACATGTTCGATGTATATTCAATACTAAAATTTAAAGGACTAATAAAAATATAGGATCTTCTTTCAATGCGCAGTAGGGAACGCAACGTTTACCGGCAGCCAGACGGGCCGCATGCTGTTCTAGAGAGCATAGTAAAAGATATATCAAAGAGCCAGACGTCTTAAAATACTTGTTTTTCCGACGTTGCTAGCTCTCGTACAACTCGTAACAATTCGTGTCAAACATAGAATAAACAACAAAAATAAAAATTCATTTATAGATACTGAATATTTTGTATGATCGAAAAAAGTCATTTAGTTGGCTTGGAAATGACGAACTATTGACATTTACCGTAATATTTTACATATGAAATAACAGCGATCTTCATTTCCAAGCCAACTCTGACGCCGTTCTTTGTTTAATCATATAGTATTATATCAAATTGTTTAATGATAGAAAATCCGTATTATTAACGTACTGTACCCAAAATCCGTAAATCTACGGATTAACCCGTAGTTCTGGCAACACTGTCTCTGTCAATCACCCACTCTGTCGACTGAAAGCAGAACTACGCTACAGTGTTCTTTATCAACTGCGCTGTAAACGACTGCAGCGCGCAGCGGCAAAGAGCTAAACTAAATCTCGACGGTATCGCCAGCTACATCTCAGACAGGTTTTGTGCCACGAAATCGCCCATAAGTTTACGTATCTTCTTATTATTTCTTCAGTCAATGCTACAACTCTCAAAAATATATCGATATCAAGCGGGAAGGTTCAATAGGAAAGTGATATTAATAGATATAAATTTTATTTGCTGTAAATTATAAGCACACAAATTTATGTTACTAACTCTTCTTAAATAATATATTAATTATTTTACTGTTTTTTGGTTACCTAGTCATATGAAAATTGTATGATATTGTTTATTGAAGCAATAATTGTAACAAGAAAATCAAATAACTGAAATGGCATTTATGAACCCATCAGAAAATCCTATGCATTTCGTATTTTTAGATATATTTTGCCATTAATTAAAAAAAACGACCTTGCAATGCAATCATTGGAATGATGATCAATGTGACTCTTTTTTGTAATCATTACGTTTAATATTTTAAATTTTATTGTTTGTAAATTTAACTAAATATGTATTTAATTAATAGTCTCTGCCTCTGTTATTTTAAAATCATAATTTTTTTTAGTTCCAACACTTGTAGAATATCTGTAAATGCTTTTAATACTTTGGAAATACACAAACCAAAATAATGAATTCTTGAAGCAGGGATTATAGAAAGTGAACTTAGTTCTCTTAGTACCACTACTGCATGGCGTACCTTCTTACTGCATTGGCTTACCTACCTACTTGACAAAGAAACACAATATTTTATTTTTATTTTTGTGACATGAATCTTCTGAGTGCATGGAGGAAACCAGTTCTGCAAAACTGTGATGTGAGCATTTTGGCACTGACTGAGTATTTTTTGTCTACTATTTTATTTCTTTTTTATGTTTTCTTTCGATCATATAGTTATAATATTTTGCTAATCGTCTCACGTGCTATTTCTTAGATATTTTTCTTCACAGGGTCCACCCGGGCTTGACGGTATGAAAGTAAGTATCCTGTATCAGAATATATATTATTTTTCCAAGAATTTAAAAATTTTAATTTTTTTATAATAAACAAATAGAAAAATTCCGCATACCTGGTAAATAATTAGCTCTATGAGATACAAAAAGGTAACATCAAAATTTTGCTGAATTTTTGCATTGCAAAGTGTATAAATTTAGTAGGATCTGATAGTGAGATTAGTGTGAAACTTAAAAAAATGTTTCAACAGTGTGTTTTAAGACATTAGGAAGAAAAAGATACATTGGGGAAAAATAATTTTAAAACTTGTATGGTTGTCAGGATTTTAGATTCTCGATTAAATAAATTGGCGCCGGGAAACACGTTTAGCCGCCCATACTAAAATATTTTAATATCTCGAAAACTGCAACTTTGACTGATTTTGATGTTATTACAAATTTTGTTGCAAATATTATTCCTCATCTTAATTTGAAAACCGCGTTTCGCTAGCTACTGTAATTTTGGAGTTACGATTTTTTAAAATTTTTAACCCCCTCCCATACCCCCTTACCAACCCCCCACCACCACCAAAAACTAATAGCCAGATTCTCGGGTGCCACAGTATTTTTGTGCCAAATTTGGTTAAAATCGGTTCAGCTGTTTTTGAGTTATCGTATTACAGACGGACAGACAGACAGACAGACACCATGAAAATATTTTGTATTTAGGTCATTTATGACCCAAATAACTCATTTTGAGTGAAATTAAAAAAACTTTTTTTTGCCGATCTTAATAGCCTACCATACCTATTGGTATGGTCGGCTAAAAATTCTGCCTCTCAGAATTAAACTAATTAAAATTTTGGTATGTATGCCCTATTGACTCAAAGATAGCTACTAATTTTTCAAAATACATCCACAATTTGTTTAAAAATGTAATAATGTAATAACCTATTTGAACAATTATAATAGAGTCTTAGTATCTCTTGCTCACATTTTTAAAATTATGAAGATAAACAAAAACTAGTACAAATAATAGTATCTCACAATCAAAATAAAATCATGGCATAAAGTAAATACAATTATAACTTTTCTTTTACTTAAACTAAAAGAATATGGGATGTGCCCAAAAGCAGGTTTGAAAAAATTTCTAATTTAAATCTATTAAATTGATTTCATAGAGTTAATAAATTACCTTGTGTGCTTTTTTTTAACAAAAATTGATTACAAAATTCCTAATACTGACCTGGTATATCAGGGAGCTCAAGGGGAACCAGGAACCAAAGGAGAACGCGGGGACCCGGGATTACCAGTAAGTTATTGATTTATTATTTTTAATTTTAATTATTGGATTCAAATTAACAAAAATGGCGTACATTATGACAATAAATAACATGGCATTATCGTTACTAAAACAAATCCTAATAAACCTCTTGCTTAAACCAAAGAAAATACACAATTAAAAGTTTTTAGCAGACAATTTTTCAGTGCATTTTGATGCACAGTAATAAAAAGATATTTATTTAAAAAATAGTTTTTTACACGTAAAAAATAGTTTCTTACACGTAAAAATAGTTTTTTACTCGTAAAAAATAGTTTTTTGCGGGTAACAAATAGTTTTTTACGCGTAAAAAAATTGTATGTGCACTATGTGCGCATATTTGAAATAAAATTTCTTACTAACAGTTATTAAATTGGAAGATTTGAAAGACATGTTAGAAAAAGTGTAGTTTGAAATCTTGAAAAAGTAATAAATTAAAAAATATATTTCTTTACGTGTAACAAATAGCTTTTTTAGACGTAAAAAATAGTGTTTTGCTTGTAACAAACAGTTTTTTACTAAATATGTATTTTTGTTAACTAATTTCACTTATATTTCATTTTAGGGCACTGACGGAATACCTGGTCAAGAGGTACTAACATTATAACCATTTCGTTTGCACAATCTAACGCTTTGGAAGCTTATTATGGTACCATGCATGAATATTTTTTTCTTATTGAAATCTCTAAAATCGTTAGATTAAAGTGATTTATCTGTTTTTAGGGTCCAAAAGGTGACAAAGGATATAAAGGAGACGCTGTAAGTATATATTTCTATATGAACTATACACCCAGGGACATAGAATAATAAAAATTTAAGATTATAAGACTCTTTTAAAACTTCTCAGATGTTTATACCACTAATCTCTGACTAATAAAACAATATACTATTTTCATACATTCAACTGATCCCAATTAAGTAATGCCACACTATTTTTGTGTAACATTATTTAAATTATCTCATATATTTTAGGGCCCATTAGGGAAAAGAGGAAGAAAAGGAGATAAAGGAGACAAAGGAGATCAGGGAGTCCCAGGTCTGGATGCCCCCTGTCCTTTGGGTGCCGATGGACTACCTTTACCTGGATGTGGTTGGAGACCGCCAAAAGTACGTAAACAATAACTGCTATTCACAGTTTACAGCCTAAAGTGCCTACAGTGCTACTATCATAGCCTACAGCCTAAACAGCCAGTCGCCAACTTCGATAGTTTTTGAGTATCGAAGTCACGAAACCCCATCATCACTGGCTAAAAAATCGTCCGATTTAAACGAAATTTGGTATGTCGATAGATTGGATCAAGGCCAACTTGACCCCGTATGACACGTAGCCCTGTGACAGTTATTTTTGATGTAAGAGACGTCCAAAGTCAAAGTCGTCCGATCGCGACCAAATTTGCAAAGTTGGACCCGACGTTTCGTTTAAACCTTCATCAGGGTAGGCTAAACTATTAGATATAGAGGAAAAATGGGGGTCGATTTCGGCATTATTGGGGACGGGCTACAAGATGAAGTGGCCAAAGTTTCGACCCGAAGTTTCTAAATGGGTGAAATCATCAGGGTTTTCCTTAATTTTGGGTCGATTGGAACCAAACCCGGCACGTGGATAGAGGTACTTCAAAGGAGTCCGGACATCCCTATATGGTTCCTTCAATTTAATATACAGGGGGCAAAAAGGGCAAAAGAAAATTACCCCCGATTTTGCGAACCAACTTTATTATTTACTTTTTTTTTATTTTTTGAAAAAAGTTTAACATCACTTTTCTCTTCAACCCTCTGCTTGAATTTGATATATTTTTTAAAAATTATAGATATACAATACATATTATGTATGTATTGTAAATAATCTAGTGAAAAATTGTTTTATTAGAATGTGTAGGCCGTACCCCACTCAGTTATGAATAAAATTATTTCAATCTACAAAAGACTTCTTTCAATCTAAAAGCGACATATGTTAGGTAGACGATTTATATCCAGAATTTTGCAGTAGCAGCTACTCTAGTTGAGATTTAAGAGAACTTAGACTTTACTTTAGAACTTAGATTATTGAAACGTGTAATTCTTTTTACAAATAGTAATAAGTCTTCTTCTTCTTCTTCATGTGCCTTCTCCTCATCGGAGGTTGGCGACCATCAATTGGAATTCCTCCCTGTCTTGAGCCAAACGGATAATTGTACTGGCCTCCCCTATATTAAACCATGGGCGTAAATTCCGCAACCAGGAGAACCGTTTACGCCCGATGCCTCGTCGTCCTTCAAACTTTCCCGCAACGGTCAGCTGTAGGAAACTATATTTGTTATTTCTAAAAAATGACCAAAATATGCTGCTTTCCGTCGTTCTATTGTAGTCAACAATTCGTTCGGTCCAGGATATTTTCAACGTTCGTCGGTATAACCACATCTCAAATAAATCCATGCGTGACATGGTCCGTGCCTTCAACGTCCATCCCTCGACTCCGTATAACAATGTAGACAGTACATAGCATTTGGTAGCTCGCCATCGAGTAGTCAGATTAATAAGTAATTGCAGGTAGTCAGTCGAATAGTCATATCAGTAATAAGTAATTGCAGGTTTTTCACTTAATGTTTATTAATGATAACATCAGGGTTAAAGTATTTTCAATGTCACTTGGGCTGGTGTGGGATGGGCTGGTGTGGACACTTGTTTTTCCAGTCGATGTCGACAATGGAGCCTACAAAGGCAATACTGAAACTAAGATTCACAAGCCAGTCGAATTCACTTTGAAAATACAACACTATATCGTATTTATTCACTTAATCATTAACATTGCACGATATTACATTACTGTGTGCACTAACACCCCAAAACTAACTTTTAACAGGACTTGACGCGCCCATCAGCTCCATCGCCTCCATCTTCGATTAGTCCGGACCTGGACACCGAAGAACCAGTTGACGAAGGCCTGGACGATTACGAAGAACCGGAAGGAGAAGACGACTACGAAGAGTACCCTGATCAGAACATGGCTCTACCAGTTTCGGCGTCCACCATTTAACATTTGCTTATGGTTTTGGTTGCTTTGGTTTATGTGCCGTTTGTGTTTGTGGTAGGTTGTTGTACTAACTTAATTAACTACGCTAGTTACTACGAAAATCTACGAATATGCGTTTATTCAAAAGTTATACATGGTGTTTCAAAAAACATGTACCATCTCTTGTGGGGAGATTCCTCACGTGAAAATAAGAATTATTTTTCATATCAACATAGGTCCGATTTTGCTTTGTTTCGTAGCTACAGGGTGTTAAAGCCTTAATATTCTTTCGATTTATTATAATTTTCCTCCAAGTACTTACAGCGTTTCGAATGACATTTTGAGAATAAAAGTTACTATGAATGTGACATATTTTAAAGCTAAAAATTTATTTTTTATAATTCGTACATATGGGTTATCACTGGAATATTTTTCAAAAAAAAAACATGTACGCCACTGACTTTTTTCTCTTGTTAGCCGATTAAAAGTTGTCTCTTGATATTTTGTTTATTTCGGCCTCCTTGATGAGATAAACGCAATTTTATCAATTTGCCTGATCCAAGTCTAATAACAACCTTTAAAAAAATTTAATTTCATTAACTTGCGAAAGTTTTGAATAAGTACTAATTGATTCGTGATCAAAAAATATGAAAAAAAGTTCCTATAAACATGGGTATGGAAATGCTTAGTTTTTAGAATTACAAGATGTTAAAACTGTTTAAAATTAGATTTTTTGTAATTATCTTAAATACCATTATTTTTTTATTTTAAATTGCTGTTCGTTGGACTAATAGTAATAATAACTAATAGTAATAATATCTAATAATAAATTAGGTAAAACATATAAGTTATTAATTTCATTTTTATTTTAATTTTATTAATTGTGGTTAATAAAATTGCGTTTATTTCATAAAGAAGGCCGAATTCGACAAAATATCAAGAGATAACTTTTAATTGGCATTAAAAGGTCTATACAATTTTGATATCAAAAGAAAAAAGTCAGTGGCGCATGAGTTTTTTTTTTGAAAAATATTCCATTGATAACCCATATGCACATCTCTGATGAATTTATCGACCCTTTTTTAGCATTAAAATATGTAGCCCTCATAGTAACTTTTACCCTCAAAATTTCATCCGAATCACTAAAAGTGCTTGGAAGGAAATTATAATCGTGGCTAAGGTCATATTCAAGGTCTGACTATTTTGACAGTTCTACCGAAGTGGTCGAGAATTAGTAGTCGTAAACAAACAAATTTTTTTCATTAGTTTCGCAACAAATCTGTGTTTTTACGCGTTTCTATGCTAACAAAAATTATACCAAATAATTTTGAGTGAATAGTGAACTATCTAGATCCGATTCATAACATCGTACCCGCGAAAAAAACCATACTTTCGGTAAAAATGATAGTAACACCGGCGATGCCGGCTGTGTGTCCGGACTAGGAAAAAGTTGGGGAATTTATATAAAAACATAATTAATAGCGTTAGTGTTAGTGTATAGTGTTAAACCAACGTAAATGACGTGTATTTTTAGGTAAAACAGTTGTCGTTTCTTTATTTTTACTTTGTGAAATAAAAAATGCCGCGACATTATTCTGTGCCTGTGCCTTGTAGCAGCAATTATAATAAGTACTCAGGATCTGTCTACATTCTCTTTACCAACAATATTAACGGTAACTAAGTCACGTCCAAAACCTACAGAAGATGCTGTGCCTACAATTTTTCCAAATCAACCCTCTTATATGACTGTGCATGTTCCCATAAAGAGAAAACATCCCGATGAAAGAAAACAAGATTTGGAAACTCAGGATGAAATAAATATTGAAAATTATTATTATTATTATGAAATGGCAATATATTTTAAAGAAATTAAATAAATTGTACTTTATTTCAGTATTTTATATAAAAAATATCTTTTTATTTACGATTTATGGAAATGGTTACTTGAACATCGAACTAGAAATTACTTAATGATAATAGTTAATTCTACCTGATATCTACATTTTTTAAATATGTTAGGCAAATTTTTACAATTATATTTAATTAAACTTTAAACTGTATTCTGCCCTTATCATATACAATACATTTTCTTAACTTGTCGATAAAGTATAGTTTTCAAATTTTCTAATATTTGGAAACTTTATCACAAGGTATATTATTATTAGCTGCTAAATACTCGCTAACGCAATTTTAGGACATGCTATTTTATTATGCTGTTGTTTATTTCATATTAATATTCGTGTTTTAGATCTAAATTTTAATGCTATTCAATTACGTTAACGCGATAAAAAGTTAATGTTATTTTTTAATACCTTTGTGTATAATATTTTTCATATTTATATCTGGCAAAACTATCAATAGATACTATTATTTATGCAAAAACTATATGCAGTACCATATGGCACAATTCAAAAGCCCGACTATTGCGGTGACGTCACAAATCGATGTCTCTGGCCTGTATCTCATGTTGGTTATGTTATAATAAATCGAAAAATTATTAAGATTTTAACACCCTGTAGCTACAAAACAAAGCAGAATCGGACCTAGGTTGATATGCAAAAAAAAACTTATTTTTACGTGAATAATCTCCCCACGAGATATGGCACATGTTTTATGAAACACCCTGTATCGCCGTTAATTACCCTGTATATGTTTAAAAAAATTTTAATAACTTTGCTAGAATGATTTGATATTATGAACAAGCATTAACATATTTTCTTTTTGTTTTAGAATAGGCATATGTGAATGGTTCAGTGAGGATTTAACAAAAAAAAACAATGTACTTATAAAAGTGAAGTGAATACCGTGTAAATAACTAGTAAGAATTTTCAAAGAACAATTATACTGCCTTCAAGGAAAATAGACTGTAACTTTAGCGTATTTATCGTAATTATTAATGAATTCTGTTCAAGTAACAATTTGCAAAGCAATGTTGTAATATTTTTTTAAAGAAATAATATATTTAACAGCGTGTAAATATTCAAATGTTTTAAGACTATTAACTATTAAGATATAGATATTAACATAGAGTTCCTGAATTTACGATGCCAAGATATATATTGACGTATTTGAAAATATGTTTGGTGCTCCATTCTATGGTAATGTTGCTTCTTTTTTCAAAAATGTATTAATGAAAAAATTAAGATGTAAGCATATAAGAGTTATTTAAAAGTTATAAATTATTGTAGCACTATATCGGACACTGTACAAATTGTATAATACTCAGTTAAGTAATATATAAATGTTTTACATAATATTAAGAAAATTGTTGTATGAATAGTCATTGACTGTATATATTCTCGTATAGTTAGTATACAGGGTTGTTCACCACATACGACACGGAGTATTGTAGCTAAACGATGAGATTTTTACAAATTTTAAGTCTTGGATTTGATGAAGGACTTTTAGAGGTACAATTTAGAAATAATTTTACAAGATACAGAGTGTCCCAAATAAGTAAAAAATATCAAAGTTGTATTTTTTTAAATCGAACACCCTGTATATTATTGCATTTTTAGCTTCTACGATTAAAATAAAGGTAAATTTGATTAAGGTTTATTATACTTAAACCTTACCGTTTTTGAAATATTTTCAATTTTGTGAAATTGCAGTAAAAATTTTAAGGCTTCATTTCTCCAAGGGTACCAAAGTTTTTAATACTAAATATTTACTGATGTTTATTTATTGATCAGTTATTGTGTTGCAATAATAAAATAATACTACCTTATACAGAGTGTCTAAAATTTATTTTAAATAATTATTAGCTTCAAACGGCAATAACTTGTTTAATTTAAATGGAACACCCTGTATATTTTACGAGAATCAGATGCACAATTTAATTGTCTATCAAATTATATTATACCATTTTTTACCTATCTCTTTAAGTTTCCGTAGAAAATACATTTTCTTGTAATTTAGAATTTATTTATCAATATACCCATGGAATATTGACATTTTAGATTATTTTTAAAGATGTACCAAATTATTAAAGAGTACAGATACTAATATTGTGGATATAATTCGTTTATTTCATTAAAAAATAAAAAAAACTGTTTAAATATTTGTTAAAAAGGACCAATTAATATGATTCCAGTATTCAAACTACATTAACTGACTGCATTGATTAATAATAATTGTTCCAAATACTAAAAAACTGAATTTTGTATGGGTATTAGACAGTGTAACACAAAAGTAACACCTTAAAAATGATATTTCATTTTTTAATAAATGCTTATTTATAACAACAAAGACTTTAATTTTGATAACTTATTATTATATCGATTTCTGACTCAATTCCACATTTATTTAGAATAATTTATTAACGAATACAATTAAGTATGTAATTAATTAGTATATGGGCGGAAATAATGGTGCTATATTTAATTAATGGTATACTCTTTTATAGATTTAAATAGTTTTCTTTTTGCATACAACATTATTGTTTTTAGCAAAACGATAATATTACTAGAATGTCAATATTCCATGGGTGTCAATAATAAAATGTCAATAGTCCATGGGTATATTGATGAATGAGGTCTAAATTATAAGAAAATGCATTTTCTACGAAAACTTGAAGGGATAGGTAAAAATGGTATAATACAATTTGATAGACAATTAAATTGTGCATCTGATTCTCCTAAAATATACAGGGCGTTCCATTTAAATTAAACAAGTTATTGGCGTTTAAAGCTATAAATTATTTAAAATAATTTTTTAGACACTCTGTATAAGGTAGTATTATTTTTATTATTGCAACACAATAACTGATCAATAAATAAACTTCAGTAAATATTTAGTATTAAACACTTTTGTACCCTTGGAGAAATGAAGCCTTAAAATTTTTACTGCAATTTCACAAAATTGAAAATATTTCAAAAACGGTAAGGTTTAAGTGTAATAAACCTTAATCAAATTTACCTTTATTTTAATCGTAGAAGCTAAAAATGCAATAATATACAGGGTGTTCGATTTAAAAAAATACAACTTTGATATTTTTTACTTATTTGGGACACTCTGTATCTTGTAAAATTATTTCTAAATTGTACCTCTAAAAGTCCTTCATCAAATCCAAGACTTAAAATTTGTAAAAATCTCATCGTTTAGCTACAATACTCCGTGTCGTATGTGGTGAACAACCCTGTATAGGTTTTCTTTAAAGAATGTTCAACAGATGTGTTTTTTAAGTTTTATTTTTGCCATCACATAGATATTTTATTGTCCAGCAAAATGGAGATATTATGTGGAGAGGCAATGAGCACAATTTAAAACTATTTCTAAATGTACAGGGTGTTTCAGAACTAAGACCCATACCAAAGTTATATTTTTTCTTATGAAACACACTCGGTATTTATTTCATTTTTGGATTCTTGGACCTAAAAATTGCATTTATTAAAACTTTAATTTTTGAAATATTTAAAGATATTGAAATATGCATGCTACAATAGAATAGATTATCAACACCCTCTACATTACTTTTCAGAATAAATGCTGAGTTTAAAGGTAAAGAAATAAACTTAAAAACTAAATTTATTCAGGAATAACAAAAATTACTGATTACTGATTACTGACATACCTTGTACTTTTCAAAATAATTTTAAATTATGCACATTGTCTTCCTGCATGTATATGAGTATTCATAAAATAGTTTGTTTCTACATCTTTTCGTTTTCGTATAATCAACCGAGGCGAATGAGGTGAGCCACCCTGTATTTATGATGGTAGTGACATAGACCTGTCATTTCACTTCAACTATTGTTTTACCTGTCACTTTTACATGTCAGTGGGTTATAAGATAATAGGTATAAGAAATTATTCGAAAAATTTCTTGTTAAAATTTTATTTTATTTAACTATTACTATTTACAGATATATTTATATAGTTATAATCAAGAAAATATAATTTTTAATATGTTTACCATTGGTGCCTCAAATGCCATGGAAATTGCAAAGGCCGTCAAGAATGACAAGACGAGGTTTCCAAAGAATATAACTAACTGAAACAAAAACAAAAAGAGTGTATTATTTTAATAGAAAAGAATTATTGAGCATCGATGGTACGATAATTTAATAATTTATCAAATTTTTAGTCTTTACTTTTGGGAAGGTACACCAAAAAACACTAAATCGCCTTCTATATTTTTTTATTTGTAAATATTCATAATCATCATCTCATAAATCCATCACAATCTGGCAGCGCTATCGCCATCGCTTGTCATTCAAAGTTGATCACGTTCATCGGAAATTGTTTTGCGATTACAAAAGTCAAAAACGCTTTTGACTAAAACTGTTTTGCTCTTTCTCTGCGTGTCCAACCTAAGTTTTAAATTTGAAAAGTACACATTTGAGGGAAGTATCTTACCGTATAAAAGTTGTGCAGCTGTATGGGGCCATCCAAGGCGAATCCCGTGAGGCACATCATCATCGGATGGACAAGGTACGCACAAAACGTTAGTCGACTAAGTGGAAGGAACAGTCTCCAAGACAGGAAACTGTTAAGTGGGCCACCGTATCCAGACGAACAGGCTATGGTTATCCAGGCGATTGATACACCCCATGCGGTATGTCCTAGCGCAACCTAAAAAATGAAAAACTGCATAGCGCTATAGGAATACAGGCTTAAAAATAGATAATAACGGAGTAGTCTATCAAAAATGTATTTTGTTGCTCAAAAAGATTTAAAACTCTTAATTAGAAGACTTTCATGTCTTATATTTAATAGAGTAGTAAGTACAAAGTTTTGTTTTTTATTTATATACATAATATATTTGTAACTTCTTATTATCGTTTCAATTCCGTTTTTGAGAACGACATTTAAAAAAATAACTCACTAATTATTACAATATGTTTCTTACGTAAAATGCCGAAGCTGGTACTACCAATCCTTTTCTACCTAAGCCATATACCAAAGATCCTAAACACGATAGTGCTAATATCCAACCAAGTACCATGAGCAGATAGTGGATTTTTATTTTGCAATCGTTTTTGTATAAGATGTAACCTGTAACAAAACAAAAAATAACAATTTAATTAACTACATTTACCATTTTTGATATTTTTTTCTATAGCATCTACTATAGTTCTTCTCGCATAACTTCTTTCGATATGTAACATCAAACGAAAGATACTTAGATAATAGATACAAATATGTTCTGAGGTAAACGTTGCATTTGAACAGTTTCAAAAAATATTAAGAGGTTATTATTTAATTTATTTTAAACCTTATTGATATCCTTGTATAATTTTTAGTAAATATATTTTAGAAACATTTCAAAGAACAAATTAAATATAAATTGTTCTAATTAAAATTTAATTTTCTTATTAAAAAAAAGTTGAACTGGGTCTGTTTTTTCTAAAATACTTTTTAAACAGATAAACACTTTGTTGAAACTTCTAGGGGATCTAACAAAAGGCAGATATCTAGATTGAGAAAACCTAGTAACTTATTTTAGCTTCCAAGATACATAATTAATTTTAATAAAATTAAAGGGAAAGGAAGAGTGAGAGGAACAAATAAATACTTTCTAAATATTTGCAACCTGAAAATCTAATTGTGGTGTATGAATAAAGTTAATACTTGCCTAATTATTTATACTATAATAATATACAGGGTGTTTAAAAAAACATGTGCCATCTCTCGTGGGCAGATTCCTCTCGTAAAAATAAGATTTATTTTTCATATTAGCATACGACAGAACGCCAACGGTTTTTATAGACGTATCTGTTTAAAAAAAACTTCTCTAATAGTTTCATTTAAATATTTTAAATAGATTTTTTCTTTGTTTCTTTGTGTTATTTTGCTACCGACGACGCACTATGGTTTCTAGCAGCTACCTTTTTTGAAGAGATGAATCCGCCACAGAGTTATAGACATTTTTTAATTTTATTAATTGTCATTAATAAAATTGCGTTTATTGAAGTGGACAAAATATCAAGATACAACTTTTAATCGGCATTAAATGACCTACACACTTTTGCTAACAAGCGGGAAAAAAGTCAGTGGCGTGCATGTTTTTTTGAGAAAAATAGTCCAGTGACAACCCATATGCACGTCCCCACTCATAGTATCTTTTACTTAATAATTCTATTTAGGTTTATTGAAGAGCATTAAAACCCACCTTCAAAAGAATAACTTTAGATATTTTTGATTAGCTCCTTTACGAGTTATCGCCGATATCTTTTTAAATATTTCTCCTTTTTTATGGCCCTGTATTTACTTATGAGCAGGGTTGGCATGATTTAAATCAAATGATTTAAATCATAATTTAAATCGTGATTTAAATCAAATGATTTTTTTAATTTTAATCATGTGATTTAAATCAAAAAAATTTTTTATTGAAACAAAAATGTGTCCTAGACAACTATAAAACATATTTCTATATCAGGTATAACAGATAATAAATCGAAAAATAATTGTAAATGTTATAAAACTACAGAAAAATATCTATTCGTCAATTTAATTCTTTGACCAATTTTTGAAGTAATTTCGTGTGAATCCATTAGACCGCTAAACGCAGGGATTTATTTTAAAATTTATGTATAAGTGACAAAAATTCGCTGTTCAAATACATATCATTCGCAAAGTCTAGTGCAGAACTAGGTTCTTCTAATATAGAGACTATATCTTCATTCCCGAGAATCTATAATCGTTGTCAGAAAATATGTTGTTTTATATTTTAGTAATAAAAAGTGTTATATTAAGTATGTTTCCAAATGCATACCGATATTTTGATCTGCAGTAAGTACTTTACACTTTGACATTAGATATTTATAATACATACGAATTTCATTCTCTACTTAAGAATATTTCGGAACAATAGTGTATTAACCTAACCTTTGAAGGACCATCGTAAAGCTATTCCGATGTTACAGGGAGGCACAAAAAGTAAATTTTTACTCCGAATAGAACATAATATTTTTTATAAACATTACAAATAATTTTTTAATCAATTTCAAACATTACAAATAATATAAACAGTAATCGAGCAACAATTTGTACACTCTGTTGAATTTTACACTTAATATGTCAGTTTAATAATATATTTTTGTACTTTTATGCCTAGGAGTTAAAATGACAAAAATTAATACTTTTCAGACGTTTGAAAAAAAAATCCTTTTGATCTGAAGCGAACGGCTTTTTTTGCAGAATATCTTGGTTAGGTTAGGACCGATGTGGAAAAATCACAACGCCCCGTAGAATTGTTAATGTTATCGGTATCGGGGTATAGATTTAGCCATTTAGGATAGGACTTTAATTGAAAATAAGTCCTAGTCATTTGGAAATCCGATTTAAATATTGTTTTGAATTAAAATCAAAAAAATCTGATTTAAATAAAAAAAATCTGATTTTTTTTATTTTTTTTTTTAAATCATGATTTTTTTCAACCCTGCTTATGAGCACTAGTCAAGGTAAAATATAACTGTCAAATGAAGTTGTCATTTCAGAAATTTACCTATTTAGTGTTTTATTATTATTGAAAACTCATTCCTACATCGGAAATCTTAAAGATGTATTTATAAATACAAATTAATATGAATTAAAGTAAAATAAAGTAATCAATTACAAGGTTAATTATAGTATTGTTACGTTTTTCCTCGGTTCTGTATGGATAGAAAGTCACAATTTATTTAAACACAATTTATTTAACAGTAATTAACAAAAACAATAACGATAAAAGACTTAAAGAACTATTTACAAACGATTTATAACTATTTATCTAGAAAGAATGTCAACTGTACTCGTTTATTTATGTCTGTCTTCTTCAGGCTACAGCCGCCGGCTTTTATACCCACAGCTAAAGATTTCTCGAATAGTCCATAAATCGTTAGGTGCATAGAGAAAGTTTCGAATGTTTTCGTATGTACTACTCCATTCCAGTGGAACTCGATTCTTCTCGAAACTTCGAATGAATCATTACGGTGTCTATTCTTTAATGCGATTTTAAGGTCATCTGATTGCGGGACATATAGTTAGGTTAGGTCGAGTCCACACGGGTCCGCAACAGTATTATTACAATATTCAATAACTTATTAATTTAGGTACTATTAAATTGTTAGAACTTTAGGATTTAAGATGTTCAAATATTCCCCCAGACTGCTAGACAATAACCCAGGCGATCATACAATTCTATTCTTACATTCGCTAGTTGCTAAACTGAAATTCTATTGCATTCGGCAGAAATAGCATTTTTTAACTCGTCTAGATTTGGGTATTTTTTATTCTTGTATATCCTGTTTTTTAAATGGCCCCAGAGAAAGAAATCATTTGGCGAAATATCAGGAGACCTTGCTGGCCAATTTACTGTATGATTTAGGCCAATAACGTTTCCGTTATACTATTGTCTAAATATTCCCGAACAGCCAGGGTACTATGTGCCGGGCAGCCATCTATTTGGTACTAAACTTCCTGATTTTCCCTAGCGGCATCATGTACAGCAGGTAAAATGTGATTTTCGAGTAGTTCCAAATAATATTCTGCATTTAAATTTCGCGTAAGAAATAATGGCCCGATAATATTGTGTCCGAATATCCCTGCCCAAACATTTACTTTCTGTGGATATTGCGTCCTTGTTTCGACAAACCTGTGTTGGTTTTCTTTGTTCCAATATCGATAATTTTAAACATTGGGTCATTATTTAAGGTAAACGTGCATTCGTCAGTGAAACATATGTTTTTAAAAAAGTCCCTATCCGTGTTTGCTCTTTCCATCATATCAAAACAAAACGCCTGCCGCCGTATTTCGTCCCCATCTCGTAGCTCTTGATGCTTTTCATATTTGAAGGAATAGTATTTATGTCGCTTCAAAATTCGAAGCGCTGTAGTGTGATCTATTCCTACTTCATCCTCAAGTATCTTTGTTCCTGCCTTGCTTCACATATGCAGTTATTTATTAGGGTACCTTTGGTCTCTAATCTCTGGATATTCCTTGCGATTGTAGATTTTCCAGGTATCGGTCTATTCGGATACAGAGCAGTAAACATGTCCGACACCTTTTGATAATTATTTCCTTGATAATACCATTTAATCAATACTTTTTCTTCGGTAGTGTAATTCTTGGCTAATATTTTCGATGTAGGTATGAGTTTTCAATAATAATAAAGCACTAAATAGGTAAATTTCTGAAATGACAACTTCATTTAACAGTTATCTTTTACCTTGACTGGTGCTCATAAGAAAGGAGAAATATTTAAAAAGAAATCGGCGATAACTCGTAAACGGGCTAATCAAAAATATCTAAAGTTATTCTTTTGAATGTGGGTTTTAGTGCTCTTCAATAAACCTAAATAGAATTATTCTCTAAAATAATTAGGGAAGCCAATAATTGACCGCATTAAAATTTACATGGGATTTCCTATGTCCCGCTCGACGATGCAACACCCGGTACCTATAGATATTTATACAGATGTAAAAAGCGCCAAAACTGGAACGTTAGTGACAAATAAAGCAGTTGATGACATGTTCTGTATACTAACCTGTTGACATCCCTATTAAATAAGGTCCTATCCTCATCCAAGGCTTGTCATACAGCTCGTCAAACAAGGCAAACGGTTGTTCCACTCTAGCCACGTACTGATGCCTCATCGCTATGATAAACGTCACTATCCAGGATGAAATTAGTAACAAAATCATGGAAATAGACACGAATTTCAAGGCTCTAGTATTCCTAAAACAAGATTCTGCATTATAAATAATTAATTATTAGAATGATTTCCAATATAGGTAACTTTGTTCAATGGAAGCACTTGAAAGCAGCATTAAAACTATCAAAATCAAACTTCCAATATTTTTATACATAAGAAGCTATTAGATAATTTATCAGCATAAATCATAATTTGTTATATTCAAAATAGGTTCATACTGGAAGCATATTTCATATTATTAATATGCTGTATGTACAATACGATCGAAAAAAAAACAACATCAAAGACGGCTAGAAAATGACAATCGATGATAATTTTAGCGAGGTCAAGCCCTAGACGTTATTACTTGGCCCGTACTCTATTTTTTAATGGCTCTTACTGCCAGTGAAGGTTGTAATTTATTTTTATATTGAGTAAAAATGATTTTTAAATGGTGTTGTTTAAAATTAGAGAAAAAAATTTTGGAAATAGATTTTGTCTGGAAACGTTCTATCCTTTTTCAATCTTTCAAGTTTAATGTCAATTTTGAGTACGTAATTTTTAACTTCTTTGACGTCTTTTTTTTCGACTATACGGTATTTCAAATGCAATTTTTCATAGTTCTCAAATCTAAGATCTATTTCTATTAAAATGTGATCCAAAATTTCGAAAAATATTGCACTATTTTTTTAAGGAAATTCAAAAATGTATTTTGTCTCAGAAAGGGGATTAAATGAAATTTTAGCTTACCTGACAGCTATAACTAAGAATATCGAAGCTATCACATGAAATTGGGAGTCGTTGGCAAGATACCAAGACCACAACATACAGAACTCCTTTTGAGGAAAGAAGTTATTTATATATAAAATGTTTCTCCACCAGAATTTCTTACAAGTTACATGATCATAAATTGCAGGAGAGAATACGGAGTTACTAAAAAAGAAAATAAAAAGTTAACTTTTAAAATAATTGAAATAAATAAGAATAGTAAAAGGTAAGTATGCAATATACCTAACCTGTGAATATTCTTCATCACAATTTCATTGAGAACTAGGACATAAAAGTACGCTGGGGTAAGGCGCAGAAATCTGTAAATTATCATGGAGGAAAACTTGAATATGTCCAGGAAAGCAGCTTTAAGAAAATGTATGGATTTGGATGATTTTTCCTTTTTGCCATCGCTTCGAAGAAACATCAATGTTACTAGAAGACCACTGAAAGAAATAAAAATAGAAAATCAATTAAAAATGTAAAATATTTATGTGTACTTAGGTGATGCAATAATTTTTCCATTTATGCTATGAAGCGCATTAAGATGATAACATAAAATTTAGGTTTGTACATCCTGGAAACTTATTAGCACAACACTGGATGACAAAAGTTAGTTTTTAGTGCCTACTTGTAAAATTGATTCAGCCTCTCAATTATTAGTGCCGTTAGGATTCGGCGATAAAATGTAGGTCCCGTGTACTTGTGAAACACTGATGACTCACATCACAAGTGCGTATGATCGAAAAACAAACGGTCCAGATGGCTTGGAAATAAACATCGATGACATTTTTCTATACCTTTACTTATAAAATGACAGGGATCTTCATTTCATATCCATCGCTAACGCCTTTTTTATTATATTGTACATGCGAGAGGTACGCCTACGCTCTGTATAGAGAAGAAGAAAAAAAAAAACTCTAATGTGCTGTCTTTATCTGTGACACTGTAATTCGTTTTGACGCACCCTGTATATACAAAACAATGTGGCCTATTTTAGCCTATTTTAGTATGGTTGATTTTGAATTAGACTCTAGCATAAAATAATTACCGATACATAGAGTCAAAAATATTCTATTATACAGGGTGTCCCTGAAATAAGGGCAAGTACTTTAAAGAGTGGTAGATCTCGATAAAAGAAACATATTTTCTCTTTATCGTTTTTCAAATAAGTCCAAAATAACGGAGTTATTTTACTTTGAAAATTTCCAAAAAAAATGATTTTTTTGCTAAATTGTTGAATTTTCTTTCTTGTAAATTTAATCTAATACCTACATATGTTGCCACATTAACAAGAAATTATGTTTTTTAACTAAAAACTAAAAAAAATTCAAAAGTTTTTTTCAAAAAATTTCGAATTTTCAAATTTTTTTTTCGCGAAAAAAACCTCATAGGCGTGTTGGGGTTGAACTATACTACCAGTTAAAATACTTGCACTTATTTCTGGGACACCCTGTATATTTTAAATTTTGAGAGCTTTATACCGGATGTGTTTCGAAAGTGGCTCACCCCTATAACTTTTTTATTTTTTCAGATAAAAAACGTTATTTAGTATATTACCATAATATATGACATAAATTAGGATTGATAGACATATTCAATTAATTGTTGTTGGTCGCCTTCCTGTTTCACCGGAAATAACTACTAACTTTTGATTTTTAAACGACTCCCTCGGTAATTTTTTATTTAAAAAAATACACTCTGAATAGAATGACATATCATATGTCAACTTTTAACATTTTTCTATATGGTTTATTTGAAATTATAACTTGCGGTTCGTAACAAAAACTTGACTCGAAATACCAAGTGTGTGGTATCAAATTATTCGTAAAAAATAATTTTTCCAAGTATGCTAATGAGCCACCCACGTTCCATTTGAAAAAATTGAGATATGATTAAAAATACGATTTGGGCATATTTAACCGGCCAGGACAAGTCACGAAAAACATTAGATGATCAAATCTATTTTTCCTAGGATCCTTGATTAAAAATTAGTGTTTTTAACACAGCCATAGCACTCTAGATTGAGATTTAAAATACAATTTTTCCGTAAGCGAAAATGTCAAAAGTTGACTTATGATATATCATTCTATTCAGAATGTCATTTTCTATCAAATAAAGTAAAAATATACCGTGGGAGCCATTTAAAAATCAAAGGTTGTAATTATTTCCGGTCAAACAGGAAGTAACCAAAAACAATTGAATACGTCAATCAGTCCTAATTTATATCATATTAACATACCAAGTCTCGTTTTTTTTATCTGAAAAAATTAAAAAGTTATAGGGGTGAACCACTTTTGAGACGCACCCAGTATACAGAGTGACCCATTCATCTGAGGATGTCCAATATCGTCGTTGTTTACGAATAAATGAAAAAAAGTTTTATATAAACATTGCATAGTTTATAAAGGTGCATATCTTAAAAATATTTTATTGTACGCAAGTTTTTTTTAAATTGCAATCGCCGCGCCGGTTTTTTGTACAGAACTGGATTTAGACCTTTTCGACGATATTGGAAGTGCTCGCATTAACGGGCCACCCTGTATATCAAGGTGCTTTGAAAATGTGCGCTATTATGGCCCGCATATTTTGCAAAAAAGAGTGTAGTAACAATCCGATCTTATACCCAAGATATAACTTTTGGACTTTTGGATATGTCTAAATTTGGAGAATTCATTTTACTTGTAGGTACTGATATCTTTCCAAAACGTAATAGAAGTAGGTACCTGATAAAAAAGAAAGTATCCACCGAGAAAGTGGCGTTCGATATAGTCTGGTACATGAAGTTTTTCTCGGTCAAATTCCTCAACGTCTTGTTCCGACCCACTCCGAACGCTGCCAAATAAGTGTGCACCATCACGATCCAAGCGATGGAGAAGAACCTTAGCCCGTGCAGGCAGTTGATGGAGTCTTGGGGCAGCTTCTCGACGGACAGCACCTTCTTGCCGTTGTTCAAGGCGGAAAATGCCAACAGTAACCTTAAATATACATCTGAAAATATAATAACTAAGGGCCGGTTTCGTAGGGGCGGATTAATCTTCAGATCTCTTAGTTATCTTGAGATTTCCTACGATTTACAGGTTACGGAAATCCAAAAGCTTAAAGTCCAGCTGGTGGATTGGGTCAACTAAAAAGCTTCAATCTGAAGAATAATCCTGATAATTAAATATTTATTAATACTCTCACCGGCACGAAAAACGTGCACTTAAAATTTTGATGTATTTTAAAGTTTAATATACACTTCCCCCCATCACAATAAATTAACGCACCACAAAAAAATAACTAAAAGTTTAAGTTTTTGTCAAAACCACTTATCCGTTTTGGACGATTTTTTTTGAATGATAGGTTATTCTTTCCACAATGTTGCTATACTAACTGTATTTTGATAAAAACTGTTTTTTTACTAATACCGGGTGTAGCAATTATAACATGTTTTTTAAATAAAATTTGTACCACCCTGTAGAGTTGATCAGTTATAATATCAAGTTAAAATTGAAATCACATTTTAGCCTTATCTTTTTTTTTACATTTTGTTTTTTTATTTACTCCATTATCTTTCTTATTACATGAGAAACATTTTTTGTTCTCTGGCAAAATTTAGCCTCGCTCTTCGATTATCTCTAGTTAAAGCTGGACCTCGGGCGGCAACTCTAGTCTCAAATTCTATTCCCTCAGTCGCTGACGGATAGTTTCTGTGCAAACTTGTAGACCATTGGTATCTCTGAGTTTGAAGGGTCCGAGCTGTTACGAAACGTTATCTTAATGTTGAAAGTTTTAAAAAACGTTCCTGAATCGGATTGGTTTTTCGATTCCTGCCTTGTCCCGTCCTGCGACAATTACTCCCAGTATCTCTATACCGTTGTATAACTCGTGAAATGGTTGAGTGAGTTACATTAAATTGTTCACCAATTCTTCGGTAGCTCCAACCTTCCCCAGACAATATTAATGCTTGAGCACATTCTTGGCGTGTAAGATTTCTTGTCTCACGTGCACGTTGTATATTTTTGATATAAAAAAAAGGACAAAAACGACTGACACTGACAACAAGCATCTCTATTTGACATTTACTGGTAATCCGTGTTTTTCCATAGCCTGCTACTTACTTTAGTGAGTAAAATGAAAAAATGTTAATTAAAACCAATATTAAATCATGTCATCCTATAAAATGTTGTTTCTCGTGTAATAAGGAAGATAATGGAGTAAATAAAAAAACAAAAGGTAAAAAAAAGATAAGGCTAAAATGTGATTTCAATTTTAACTTGATACTATAACTGATCAACTCTACAGGGTGTCTACAAATTTTATTAAAAAAAACACGTTATAATTGCTACACCCGGTATTAGTATAAAAAGGGTTCCTATCAAAATACAGTTAGTACAGCAACATTCTGGAAAGAATAAGCTATCATTCAAAAAAAAATCGTCCAAATCCGATAAGTGGTTTTGACAAAAACTTAACTTAAACTTTTGGTTATTTTTTTGTTGTGTGTTAATTTATTGGGGAAGTGTATTTTGTTCTAGTAGACCGATTTTGATGATTTTTTAAGCAACATGTAGCTAAATTCTTTGACTTTTCAGTATCTCTTTCTAATATGAAAAAATGATGATAAAACAGTTTCTTGTTGAACTTTTGCCACAAATCATTTCAATTTTATGAGTTCAGTCTAATAACTATTTAGTCAATATGTTTAATTTGAGTCAATGATGACAGGTACTGATAACTTCGATTCCAAATATCTCATGAACCATTACTCGTAGAGATCTTTACCAAAATACCTTTTTTACGACAAAAAAAGACGTCGTAAATGTATTTTTTTTACTCAGTAGTTTTATACTGGTACGGACGAAAAGTTATTGCGCTTCAAACCAGTAAAAAATATGTAGGCGGCGCCCTCTACAAGTAGGAGACACTAGGTGACATCAAAACCAAATTTCTCATGTCAAAAACTGCCAGACGCCAATTTTCATCCAAATATTGACGTTACTTCAGAAATTATTTGGAAAAAATCGAATTAAAATGAAATTTCTACACCCTGTATCTCCGAAACTAAGTATTTTAGGACACACATATATTCGAACTTTTTTACTTATTTTTACCTGCAGAATATGTTGCCGAAGTTTTCGGAATACAGTTCGAACCACCCTGTATAATAATAATTATTATAAAACTTACTACTTTCCTTTTTTCGATTGTTGCCTTCGTTGGCATTTCCCTCCTTGTTTCTGCTTACTTCTAGGTCTTTACTGTTTCTTTTTTGTATCACTTCAACGATCGAAGCTAGTACTACCAGCAGTATGATGATCAAAGTACAGCCACTGAAATATATTTAAAAATGAGTAAATAAATGAACAAAAATCGGACTTGATGGTGATTAATAAAAACACTCGATAAACGAGTAATAACAAGATACAGATTGTTTCAAAAAATATGTGCCATCTTTCGTAGGGAAATAATTCCTCACGTAAAAATAAAACTTTTAAGTGTTTACAATCGCTTGTTTCTTCAGTTATACTGGACACGTCGCAACCATTCCATTATAGGATCGAATAACTGTTAATGCTGAACAATTTGTTTGCCAACAGTCTTCGATAAAATAAGGAAAAAGAAGAAAAAACATCGCATCACTCGTGATCACGACAATGCCAGCTCCCATAAAGCACGTCAAACTACTGAATATTTGAAAGAGAATAACATCGAATTAAAATCATTGCCTGTATTCACCCGATTTATTGCCTAATGACTTTTTCTTGCTCCCCACTGTCAAACAAAATGTACGCGGGCTGTGATTTTTATCACCTCAAGGAGCTGTTGAAGACTTTCAAAACCATGTTTCTACGATATCAACTTCAGAGAGGAAAAAATGTTTCCAGAAAAAAAACTTCGTTCTTTTGTTCGTTTCTGTTTCACTTTTTGTAAAAACTTAGAAGACAACCTACGTACCTACTATGCCTAATATAAGATTTAATCATTACTGACATAGTTTTAATGGTTACATATTTTGTATTAACTTAATAATTGATGTTCATAAAACATTTTTATATTAAATGGTATTTGCTGTTGGAATGTACAGATTAAATTAATAAATTAATAATATTTTTCAAATGATTACATAAATTTAAAATTAAGTTATTTTCTAAAAAATAAACACAAAAACACAAACTTGTTAAAAATGCAGTTGTACTTTAAAATATGATATAATTAAAAATATTATATAATTATAAAAGTAATATAGAACATTTTACTAAAACGGTTAAACTGTTTATAAAACATTATAAATATGTATTTAGAATTAAAATACACTTTTTTATGGATAAAATTATACCACAGATTATACTATGTTAATGTCTAGCATCGACATATAAGATGGTTTACATAATTTGCAGTTTTTGTGTCAGTACTTTCACTGCAGTGGACTTTCTTGTTTTATAAAGGTTCTAATAATTTTGGAATTCTATAAATTCTATCAGTACAGCGTCATGGTTTACATAACTTAGTGCATTCGAATTTGCCCATATTGATACAACGCACTATGTGGTTTTAAATATAAGATTCAGTGTGATATTTCCTTTTTTTCCATAGCGGCTGTTAAAATTGCCTATTTATCAAAAATAGTAGACAAAATAGTACTTTAACAGCAAGGGTAGGTTAAGTGATACTTTAACAGCGAGGATAGGTTAAAAACTTTCAAAAAATTTCTTCTCGCACGTTTTTTAATTGCTTCCATTTTTGAAAATTTTTGTATTCCTTTTCATAAGTTATTGGGGATTTAAATGGAAGTAGTCTGGATATGGCGTTTGTCGCCTCAGCCCGAATAACCTGTAAGTAATTTACTTATTTCGTTTTGAGTAGCGATGGGAACTATCGAATGAATTAGACTATCGAATGGTTACTGAATGAATGATTTCAACTATCGAATGGTTTCATTCGAATAAAATCATTCATTCATTTGTATACTAAAGCATATGTGACAACCTCGTCGTGCGACTAAATGGTTATCGTTAAGCCACGACTATCGAATGCTTTTGATAAATGAAATTTAGTATTCGTTTGATTTTTGTGTGCGTCAGTGACGATAATATACAAGGATGTTCACCACATACGACACGGACAGTATTGGTAGGCTAAACGATTAGTTGTTTACAAATTTCAAGTTTTGTTCGATGAAGGACTATTAGAGGTACAATTTAAAAATAATTTACAAGATACAGAGTGTCCCAAATAAGTAAAAAATATCAAAGTTTTATTTTTTAAATGGAACACACTGTATATTATTACAATTTTAGTTTCTACGATTAAAATAAAGTTGTAAATTTGATTGCTTCTATTACATCTTAAACCTATACCGTTTTGAAATATTTTCAATTTTGTGAAATTGCAGTACAAAATTTTAGGCTTCATTTCTCCAAAGGGTATCAAAGTTTTTAATACTAAATATTTACTGAAGTTTATTTATTGATCAGTTATTGTGTTGCAATAATAAAAATAATACTACCTAATACAGAGTCTAAAAATTTATTTTAAACAATTTATAGCTTTAAACGCCAATAACTTGTTTAATTTAAATGGAACGCCCTGTAGATTTTAGGAGAATCAGATGCACAATTTAATTGTCTATCAAATTGTATTATACCATTTTTACCTATCCCTTCAAGTTTTCGTAGAAAATGCATCAATATACCCATGGAATATTGACATTTTATTATTGACACCCATGGAATATTGACATCATATATTGACATTCTAGTAATATTATCGTTTTGCTAAAAACAATAATGTTGTATGCAAAAAGAAAACTATTTAAATCTTTATAAAAGAGTATACCATTAATTAAAATATAGCACCATTATTTCCGCCCATATACTAATTAATTACATACTTAATTGTATTCGTTAATAAATTATTCTAAATAAATGTGGAATTGAGTCAGAAATCAATATAATAATAAGTTATCAAAATTAAAGTCTCTGTTGTTATAAATAAGCATTTATTAAAAAATGAAATATCATTTTTAAGGTGTTACTTTTATCACACTGTCTAATACCCATACAAAATTCAGTTTTTTAGTATTTGGAACAATTATTATTAATCAATGCAGTCAGTTAGTGTAGTTTGAATACTGGAATCATATTAATTGGTCCCTTTTAACAAATATTTAAACAGTTTTTTTATTTTTAATGAAATAAACGAATTATATCCACAATATTAGTATCTGTACTCTTTAAAAATTTGGTACATCTTTAAAAATAATCTAAAATGTCAATATTCCATAGGTATATTGATAAATAAATTCTAAATTACAAGAAAATGCATTTTCTACGGAAACTTAAAGAGATAGGTAAAAAATGGTATAATATAATTTGATAGACAATTAAATTGTGCATCTGATTCTCGTAAAATATACAGGTGTTCTATTTAAATTAAACAAGTTATTGCCGTTTGAAGCTAATAATTATTTAAAATAAATTTTTTAGGACACTCTGTATAAGGTAGTATTATTTTATTATTGCAACACAATAACTGATCAATAAATAAACTTCTGTAAATATTTAGTATTAAAACTTTGGTACCCTTTGGAGGAATGAAGCCTTAAAATTTTTTACTGCAATTTCAATAAAATTGAAAAAATATTTCAAAAACGGTAAGGTTTAAGTATAATAAACCTTTAATCAAATTTACCTTTATTTTAATCGTAGAAACTAAAAATGCAATAATATACAGGGTGTTCCATTTAAAAAAAATACAACTTTGATATTTTTACTCTATTTGGGACACTCTGTATCTTGTAAAATTATTTTTAAATTGTACCTCTAATAGTCCTTCATCGAACCCAAGACTTAAAATTTGTAAAAATCTCATCGTTTAGCTTCAATACTCCGTGTCGTATGTGGTAAACAACCCTGTATAATAAAACAAAAGTAGAAAAGATATTGTGCTGGGTTGGCGTCGGTTTCTATGCAATTTGACAAATAAAATAAAGCTGTCTCTTTAGTTGTTTTTGTTTATTTAATTGTTTTGTTTTCGACGTCTTTAGTTTCATAAAAAGATATTCGCGAAAACTAAAAATTTCTATCTATCCTAATAAGCAAGATACCCCTCATTTTCAAACAAAATGAAGCACTCTGTTGTACAACCAGTAAGAGAAAATAATAGCACAAAACATAAAAATCACAATCAGAATGGAATCACCTATTTACAATCAAAGAGATCTCCTCACATTTCTGGGTATATCTAATTAAGGCATTAATTACTGCTAATCTATTAATAATTGTTTAATGCTGTTGTGTAAGATTTCGTTAATAAATGTTTTTATACATCATTTAACTTATCGTTAATAATAAATTATTTGAACTCATAAATATCGAATAAAGAAACGGGCAAATTTGTTGCATAAATGCGGAAGACAAAACTGTCAAATGAATAGCGCGTATGTATACCATAAAATTCTCTACCGCAGGTGTTTATTGCATTTGTCAGTGGTGTCTCATGAGACTTTATTCTGGGGGCTGTTTAGTGCAAAAATAAAAAAAAAATAATTTCAATTTTGTACCACTGCGTATCGTCAAGGAAACGTGATAACCTGCTAACTCCATTTCTTACGTTAATAAGTTTTTTATACCATTAGAAAGAGAAAAAAAATACTCTATAAGTAGGGAAAGCAAATACATTTTTTCCCATTAAAGAAAATTTGCTATTTTAACTCCCAGTGATCTGAATTAGCCACCGAAATGCTGCTATCTCCGTAATTTCCGTTACGATCACGCTAAAGCAAACACGCGTACTTCTTACTAGTATGTTTCTTTAGTACAGTACGTCGATCCAAAGTCGCACTATGCCAAAGGGGCCCGGGTGGCAATGTAAGGAGGGACCAGTGTGGATTTTTTTGCGTATTTTTTCGCCTTACGTTTTGGTCAATTTTTTCCTATTTTATACAGGGTGAGTCTTAAATAAGTGCAAATATTTTTAGGGGTAGTATATTTCGACCCAAGAAACACGATTATGAGTTTTTTTGCGCGAATTTTTTTTTTGAAAATTTGGAATTTAAAAAAAAATGAAAGTTTGTTTAATTTTTAGTTTAAAAACATACTTTGTTTGTAACATGGCAACATAGGTAGTAGATTAAATTTACAAGGAGGAAAAGCCAATGATTCTCAAAATTATAGCAAAAAATTGGAAATTTTAAAAGTGAAATAACTCGTTTGTTTTGGATTTATTTTTGTAAAAACGGTAAAGAGAAAATATTGTTTCTTTTATCGATATTTACCACCCCTGAAAATAGTTGCACTTATTTAAGACTCACCCTGTATAGAAATCAGGG